CCCCGATCTACATAAATGCGTCTATGTTCGCGCGAATCATTCGTGATCCAGCCTCATCTACAGAAGAAGTGAGTATAATGTTTTGTAATGAATCTTTGCAAATCGCCTTTCCTAATAATGTGCTAATTAGCAAGTTTCACGATGAATGCGGCTAAAGTAAACAGTCTCTCTGAGAGCAGCTCAGAGTCAGCAGAGCTCATTAACATTTAAAGGGATATGCACCAAAAACGTCTTGATCTGAAAAGAGCTGTTTTTGACCGGGTAAAAAAGGTGTTTTTTACAACTTTTCATTAAGACCCTAAAGAATCATATCAACTTGTGGAAAATGGGCATCCTATGACCCCTTTAAGAACATGCATTCCTGCTCATGTCGAATGCATTTCATTCCTTTTGCCTAGTTTTGTTAAGAAATTAATTTGTAGGCACAGTTTATATTCCTTCACAAAATGAATTTCAGTCATTTAAACAGAAGCCTGTAGAGGGTTTTAAGATCCTGAGAAACAAATTCAATCAGTGTGTCCACACTTTTGACTGGTAGTTTAACGTATAAAATAGATTAAATAATAAAGATGATCAGCTAGTATTTGTTTAGTGAAAGCTTTTGGTCTTGTGCAGAATGGCGGCATTGCTCAGTAAGTTCAGGATTGACTTCTCTGACATCACCGTTCTTGGAGACATCAACATTAAGCCAAAGAAGCACAAGTAAGTTTCGATCCACACTGCAAAAAATTATTCTCTTACTTAGTGTTTGTGTCTTGTTTTCTAGTATAAATATCAACATTCTTGACTCAAGATGCATTTACTGTACAAGTAAAATGACTTCAGATATTATGTCTTGTTTTCTGAAAAAATTACCCAAATTGTATTCGTTTTTGCTTAAAACAAGAAAAAATATCTGCCAATGGGGCAAGATAATCTTGTTTAGCCTTTAAATTAAGATTATTTTTCTTACCCTATTGCCAGATATTTTTGCTTGTTTTAAGCAAAAACTAACAAAATTTTGATAATTTTTTCAGAAAGCAAGACTTAATATCTGAAGTCATTTGACTTGTACAGTAAATGCATCTTGATTCAAGAATGTTTAGATATTTATACTAGAACACAAGACACAAACACTAAGCAAGAGAATCATTTTTTGCAGTGCATTGGCTAATAATGAGCATGTTTTGCTCCGGTATCCACGAGAAACAGCTGTTGTTTGATTTTGTGCTCAGCAAGAAGATGTTTGAGGAAATGATCGAGCCGTACAGACTGAAGGAGGACGACATGGAGCAAGAAGCCGCTGAGAAACTGAAGGCTGAAGAACCGTGGAGGATCACAGATAATGAGCTGGAGCTCTACAGGGCCAAGGTTACCATCAGCTACTCTTCAGGAGATGTGATGCTCTTACATTGCTTTGAGATGGAGCTTCACGTGTCTCAGTCCCATTATTTCTCTAATGTGTCAGTGAGAGCTAATCAAAAAGACGACTTTAGACATGGCTCTTTCATAATAACCAGCTTTATTTCATTGCACAGATCTTATTTAGAACAAGTTACATTGTTTAAAGAAAATATACTGTCTGGAACCAATTGATTTTCATGATGATTTGATCTTAAATGTCCCCATTCTGCCATCAGTGTAGACAAAACATCACAGTAAAATACTCTGACAGTGCTTCATGCGCTGCTACTGAATTTACATTTTAGAAATTATGTTTTAGTTGAGTTACTTCGGTTTAAGTTTGAATGTGATGAGAGAGAAGCATTAGTACCACAAAATAATACAAAGACAAATAAACACAGAGATGCAAACAGGTGAGAGGGGGAAAAAAAGTTGAGAACATTGCATGGGAAATATTTTTATTACCTCATATGTCAAAAACTAATTTTTCACACACAAAAAAAAAAAAATAAATTTAACATTTTGTTGCAACATTTTACAAAAATCAAGATTGAATATATTTGGTCAAAATCCCATGTTGTAAAAGATGAAGTCCTATTTAAGACAATATTGGCGGATTAGACGGCAACGCTGACCTAAAATTCCCGCATCTCAGACCTCAAACACATAAAATATTACCATTTCTAGACATAGTTTTTGAAGTAAAGAGTAAAGAAAATACTATACAAAACTTATTGAAACAACAGTTCTTTATTTACCCTTTATTTATCATTGGATCCAAGCAAATCTCACAGGTGACCTGTTTTGAATGAGTTGTCACTGAAAGGTGAGGAGTTTGCATCTATGAAACATTTCTATTGTGAATTTCTATAGTTGCACACAACAAACCTACTGTGTGAACAGTGTAGTCTGAACAAATGACTCTTAAGAACTGATTCTTTTTAATTAATTAATCAAAAAGACTCATTTTAGCCACTTAATAAAAAATAAAATAATTGCAGGTTTATATCTGACAATTCTGACTTCTTTTCTCAGAATTTAGCTATAAAGTTCAACTCTGAGGGAAAGAAAGACTATTTTCTTACAATTTTCTTAGAAACACTTTATATCTCAACAGTTCTGACTTTATAACTCGCAATTTCATGATTATATCTTGCAATCTTGAATTTATTTCTTGGAAATGTGTCTCTATCAAACGATTCGGACTTTATATATATATATATATATATACTATATAGTCATGTGCATCCTCAGAAGTGAAATCCTTACAATTCCCATTCCTATTAACAAAACATGTTTGAACTGGCAGTATATTTCTATAGAAATCTAGAGAATTCTCATGTTATACAAACAGATATAAAGAACAAATATTTTCATATTTGGTGACTACTTTTTGAAATATTTTACATAGCAACTGTAATTTAATAATTTGCAAGAAGAATACTCATCAGAGTCGGAGAGCGAGTTCTGACCTTTACTTTAAAATAGTGATGCACATATGAAAAATATGAAAAATCAGTAAAAACCTCCATTCATTTTCATATCAAGTGTTCAAAAGATAACATCCAAAAGGTCTAAGGTTCTCGTCGCATGTCTTTTATGTTTTTTTTAGAGGTTGGATTAAAATTAAATTCTGCCATACTGCCCTTAATACTTCTGATTGTGATGTCTACTTCATAATTATTGAGAAAAGTATGGAAAAACATGTTTCAGATCACTCAAACCGTGTATGGAAATGGAGGCGCCTTTATATGGTTACTAATGGGGTTTGATGGTCACCTAGTGGAAAGGCTTGGTACTGCATCCAAACAAAATCTCACTGAAAGCAAATTTTTTGAGATATCAACCTCAAATTTGAAACACAACTTGTTTTAATTTTCTAGCCGCTTTAGAGTTAAAACATGTTTTGTAAAATATATATTTTATATAAAATATCGATATTTTAATTTTTACATTTTATATTTTCATAAACTTAAACTTCCATAACTTTTATTGTAATGCAATTTTTATAACTGTGTTCACTTCTACAATAATCTGCCTAGTGTCTTCTTTAAACAGAGACCAACCTTAAGTCTGTGCTCCAAAGCATTCACAATTTACAACAATTTAAGTAGGAAATGTCATTTTCAGGTGGAACCGACAGTTAACAGGTTAATTATGAACACACTGGTTTGTAGTGCAAACATTTTTACCGTTTACTGTATATTGTTATTCTTCTCGATATTTCCCTACGGCAGCTAATGAACCGTAATTCTCACACATTCACAGAAAACGGCTTACTTCTGCGTTGAAAAATAAGGTGGATATAAGCACGCACTAGATGGACATGTTTGACCGTTACACTCTCATCTCAGATCTTTCAGAGTGAAACAGCATCTAAAAACATGGAAGAATTTCAGCTTTTTAAAGTGCCCTATTATGGATTTCTGAAAATTACCTTTCATGCCGTGTGTAACACAGCTCTAAGTGAATGAAAACATCCTGCAAAGTTTTAAATCTGGTTTAAAGTGCCCCTATTATGGATTTTTGAAAATTACCTTTCATGCCGTGTGTAACACAGCTCTAAGTGAATGAAAACATCCTGCAAAGTTTTAAATCTGAACGTGCACCGTGTATAAAGTTATTGTCTCTCAAAACAGAGTCGACTCTGAATCATTTAAACAAATCTTTTATAAAACGAATCCCAAGCCGTTTCATGTTGATGTCAACATGAAACATTAGCATATTGCCCGCCCACGGGTTGGTCTGAAAGAAAATGCAAATTCATTCTTTGCCACTAGGTGCCGCTTTTGGAGCGGTAAAATATCTGTTTCCCCGGTAACGCTGTACACAAAGCAGCACTGCGCTCACAAACGCTGCTTTATCAGGCATTACAGGCGAGATCCAATCGGACCAATCACCGCAGATTAGCCTCACGCAAAGCAGGGGTTTGGAAAAATGAATCGTTGAATGAATCGTTTGGGAGTCGTTGAGCGAACAAGGTAAAAATAAATGCATATGATAAGACAATAAAAGTGTTTTTGACCTTGCATGCATGTCAACCTGTTGTTGGGGACTCCCAAACCCAAAATATGAACCTTTCATAACCCATAATAGGGGCACTTTAAAAAACACGTCCCTACACATATTTGACCCAAAGTTGGGTTGAAACAACCCAGCATTTTTTAGAGTGTAGACCTTGCGTTTTTCCCCATTCCATTGCCCGTGTGTCACATTTTTGCTTTGTTCTGTGCGAACGGCCCCAAATAATGTCTGAATAGCATCAACATGTAAGTGACATCAGTTCTTACTGTTCTTTCATTCAGTCGAATCGCCAGATCAGACTGAACGAGCTTCTGAAGGAACACTCGAGCACAGCCAACCTCATTGTCATGTAAGTACTGACCACACATTTAACACATAAAACACTTGAATGTATGTGGCCCTTGTGAAGCACACAGGTGCCTTGATTTGATTCACCCGAGTATCTGATTCATTTGGGGTTGGCAGAACCATGCCGCTCGCCAGGAAGGGGACGGTGTCCAGCGCTCTTTACATGACCTGGCTGGACACGTTATCTAAAGATCTGCCACCAATACTTCTTGTCCGAGGAAACCATCAGAGTGTTCTGACCTTCTACTCATGAAGAGAACGTGAAGTGACTGTGTTACAATCAGTACATTTGTATATTGACCTGATTTGTTCGCCGTCGCCAAATCGACTGACAGTATTTTTAATATATTGAGCTGAAATAACCAGTGCTACAGAAATGTTCAAGTTTATTTGTTTATATATTTTTTATGTAACGACACTTACCTAAAAAAAAAAAAGCAGATTAAATGATGCTTGAAATAAATTTAAAGAGACAGTTCACCCAAAAATGAAAATTCTGTCATCATTATATCTTTTGTGTTGATCAGAAAAAAATCCATACAGGTTTGGAACGACATGAAGGTGAGTAAATGATGACAACATTTCAATTTTTGGGTGAACTAACCCTGTAATGTTCATTTTTGCACTAACACTTTTGTTAACTCAGAACATTGATGGCATTTTTCACTGCCAAGCCTGAAATTAAATTCTTGTCATTTTTCAGTCAAACTCGCTCTGAACAGAGGCTGTATTTGAGCTTATCTTCATCCTGTCTTCAAACGCCGTCTGTTCCGGCTGCTGTTCTTAGACGCTGTTAGATTTACTAAGAACCTACTAATTCTGATCATTCGGGAGAAAGTGGGTTTGCACATGTCTTAGTGCCAATGCAACACTGTTCTAGACAAGAGAGACATTGAAAGATGCAATGCATTAAATAAATGGCATGATTTTAACCATATTATTTGTGTTTTCCATGCATTATTGTATCTATACATATACATTAAAACAAAAACTGTAAAATTGCAGTTTTGGAGCGCCAAAGTTGCAGCTATAAACTGTGAGAAATTTTTAGTCAGGGTAATGGAAAATGCAACTGCTAACTAATACACACAAATACACCATATGCCCTTTTTACAGTGTAGCTCATTGCACTTTTTTGACTTTTAATTTAATTTTAGATTGAAACTCTGAATTGAGCAGAAATGACAGAAACAATTGTGGCAGTTTAAAGGGTTTATGTAGTTTGATGAAGCTAAATGTATGCGTTTAAGACCTTTTTAAGACCAAGTATGGAATAAATTGAAGGGAACACACTATGTCAAGATGTTCTCTTATAATGTACATGTCTAAGGAGTTTTTCAATGCACATGTCTGAAGAACCTTAAATCAAAATACGTTTACTTGAAATGCAACATGACTAAAGATAAGAAGTCTTGTTTTCTGAGAAACTGATCAACATAAAACAAGAACCGATATCTGCCAAAATCGACTTAATTCAGAATCAGAATTAGCTTTATTTGCCAAGTGTGTGCAGACATGCAAGGAATTTGTTGTGGTTTTTAAGGTGCTCTTGGTACATACATGCATACATATCTGACATGAGAACAGAAAACATTTAAATAGTAAGACTTAACAATAAATAATAATAATAATGGGGACTGAGGTGGGTCAGAGAAGGCATAATTTAGTCTGGTTTTTATCCGGCATTGTGTGTTATGAGCAGGAACAGACCAGCATAAACAGACCATAAAAGTGCCCCTATTATGGATTTTTGAAAATCATGCCGCATGCCGTGTGTAACACAGCTCTAAGTGAATGAAAACATCCTGCAAAGTTTTAAATCTGACCGTGTATAAACTCTGAATCATTTAAACAAATCTTTTATAAAACGAATCCCAAGCCGTTTCATGTTGATGTCAACATGAAACATTAGCATATTGCCCGCCCACGGGTTGGTCTGAAAGAAAATGCAAATTCATTCTTTGCCACTAGGTGCCGCTTTTGGAGCGGTAAAATATCTGTTTCCCCGGTAACGCTGTACACAAAGCAGCACTGCGCTCACAAACGCTGCTTTATCAGGCTTTACAGGCGAGATCCAATCAGACCAATCACCGCAGATTAGCGTCACGCAAAGCAGGGGTTTGGAAAAATGAATCGTTGAATGAATCGTTTGGGAGTCGTTGAGTGAACAAGGTAAAAATAAATGCATATGATAAGACAATAAAAGTGTTTTTGACCTTGCATGCATGTCAACCTGTTGTTGGGGACTCCCAAACCCAAAATATGAACCTTTCATAACCCATAATAGGGGCACTTTAAAAAACACGTCCCTACACATATTTGACCCAAAGTTGGGTTGAAACAACCCAGCATTTTTTAGAGTGTAGACCTTGCGTTTTTCCCCATTCCATTGCCCGTGTGTCACATTTTTGCTTTGTTCTGTGCGAACGGCCCCAAATAATGTCTGAATAGCATCAACATGTAAGTGACATCAGTTCTTACTGTTCTTTCATTCAGTCGAATCGCCAGATCAGACTGAACGAGCTTCTGAAGGAACACTCGAGCACAGCCAACCTCATTGTCATGTAAGTACTGACCACACATTTAACACATAAAACACTTGAATGTATGTGGCCCTTGTGAAGCACACAGGTGCCTTGATTTGATTCACCCGAGTATCTGATTCATTTGGGGTTGGCAGAACCATGCCGCTCGCCAGGAAGGGGACGGTGTCCAGCGCTCTTTACATGACCTGGCTGGACACGTTATCTAAAGATCTGCCACCAATACTTCTTGTCCGAGGAAACCATCAGAGTGTTCTGACCTTCTACTCATGAAGAGAACGTGAAGTGACTGTGTTACAATCAGTACATTTGTATATTGACCTGATTTGTTCGCCGTCGCCAAATCGACTGACAGTATTTTTAATATATTGAGCTGAAATAACCAGTGCTACAGAAATGTTCAAGTTTATTTGTTTATATATTTTTTATGTAACGACACTTACCTAAAAAAAAAAAAGCAGATTAAATGATGCTTGAAATAAATTTAAAGAGACAGTTCACCCAAAAATGAAAATTCTGTCATCATTATATCTTTTGTGTTGATCAGAAAAAAATCCATACAGGTTTGGAACGACATGAAGGTGAGTAAATGATGACAACATTTCAATTTTTGGGTGAACTAACCCTGTAATGTTCATTTTTGCACTAACACTTTTGTTAACTCAGAACATTGATGGCATTTTTCACTGCCAAGCCTGAAATTAAATTCTTGTCATTTTTCAGTCAAACTCGCTCTGAACAGAGGCTGTATTTGAGCTTATCTTCATCCTGTCTTCAAACGCCGTCTGTTCCGGCTGCTGTTCTTAGACGCTGTTAGATTTACTAAGAACCTACTAATTCTGATCATTCGGGAGAAAGTGGGTTTGCACATGTCTTAGTGCCAATGCAACACTGTTCTAGACAAGAGAGACATTGAAAGATGCAATGCATTAAATAAATGGCATGATTTTAACCATATTATTTGTGTTTTCCATGCATTATTGTATCTATACATATACATTAAAACAAAAACTGTAAAATTGCAGTTTTGGAGCGCCAAAGTTGCAGCTATAAACTGTGAGAAATTTTTAGTCAGGGTAATGGAAAATGCAACTGCTAACTAATACACACAAATACACCATATGCCCTTTTTACAGTGTAGCTCATTGCACTTTTTTGACTTTTAATTTAATTTTAGATTGAAACTCTGAATTGAGCAGAAATGACAGAAACAATTGTGGCAGTTTAAAGGGTTTATGTAGTTTGATGAAGCTAAATGTATGCGTTTAAGACCTTTTTAAGACCAAGTATGGAATAAATTGAAGGGAACACACTATGTCAAGATGTTCTCTTATAATGTACATGTCTAAGGAGTTTTTCAATGCACATGTCTGAAGAACCTTAAATCAAAATACGTTTACTTGAAATGCAACATGACTAAAGATAAGAAGTCTTGTTTTCTGAGAAACTGATCAACATAAAACAAGAACCGATATCTGCCAAAATCGACTTAATTCAGAATCAGAATTAGCTTTATTTGCCAAGTGTGTGCAGACATGCAAGGAATTTGTTGTGGTTTTTAAGGTGCTCTTGGTACATACATGCATACATATCTGACATGAGAACAGAAAACATTTAAATAGTAAGACTTAACAATAAATAATAATAATAATGTGTATGAATCTGGAACAGAAGATTTATGCACATATTTGTGCATAGAGAAAACAAAGAGTTCAAAGAGAAAACAAGTTTTCATATTACATTGATAGATATTTGTACTTGATTTAAGCTTATGCTCACTTTATTTCGTTCAATATTTCAAGACATTTTACATTTGGAGTAAGTTTATCTTGATTTAATGTTGTGATAAAGATGCTGAGGAAGATACTCATTCAATGAATGCAACATTCAATGACTTAATGACTCTACTGCTCTGATATAACGCTTTTTAAGGCCTTCATTTGTGGAAGAAAGAATCACGACTTTTTGAGAACCGCAGAAACGATGTTGCTGTAACTTATTGATGGATTCATTTGCAACACAACCGCAATCCTTCACTCAAAACACTACACATGTTGATCCAAGATGTTTTAATGTGTGCAGCGTTTCACCAGCACCATCTCTATTAGCACTCGTGTGTGATTAATACCCTCCCATCCACTTGATTTAGGATTCATCACCGTTTTCTGTCAGAAATCCTGTGAGGAGAATGTCAGTCAGTTCCTCCCTTCGGCAGAGAATCAAGACGCACGGAGCGGATCCGGATGACAGCGGGGATGACTGGGAGATCGGCGTTGGGAATCTGATCATCGACCTGGACGCGGATTTAGAGAAGGATCGACAGAGATTGGAGATGAATCGCATTTTGAGCGTTAAAAGCGCTGCGGAAGGTCGCGAAGCGCTGGAATACAATTGCGCAAACGCAGGAGGCGCCGCGTTCGACGGCCTGACGCAGCCGTTCCTCTGCAAAGAGCTCAAGAAATTCAAGCTGAAACGAAGGAATTCCTCCACGGACATGGATCGATTCCCGTCGCTGGAGATTGTGAGCGGCATTCCCAAAGCATGCGTCAGTAAGCGGCGCGAGGCTCAAGGACGCGGCGGAGAGATGAATCCAGCACCAGCGCCGGTGGACAGCGACGAACCCGCGCCGCTCGGCAGAGCCAAAGACGGCAAAAAGGGCAAAACCCAGAGCAAAGGAGTGAACAGAGAGAAAGACTCGGCTAAGACGCGGAAGGAGAAGCCAAGCGATGAATTTGGCCCGCTTTCGGAGAACGGAACGGAGAATCTCATCGGCAGGGGCGGAATGGATGCGGCTATTGTTGACCACACAAACACCGAGGAGCACAGCCTAAGAACGGTAAGCTCGCATCTTTCCTTCCATGCACGATTGACGCGT